AGTAGTAGACATTCACATCCAGCAGTTGAAGCAGCTGCTTTAAAAGCAAAATTAAAATACATTGATATGGAAGCTAAGTCTCGGGCCCATTTAGAAAAAATTTCAACAATCAAAAAGTTAGAAATGGTTAAGGCAAGGTTAGAGACTTTAGATAATTTGTACGAAAAACAACACTTTGATTTTGAGGAAGAACTGAAGCAACCATTATCATTCAAAACTGAACAAGATAGTACACAGTATGTTCAAGATTATGTTGACACACATTCGCACCTTTACAATAAAAGCATTCCAGATAAACATCTGACTAGTCAAATTTCAGATACTGAAGGTCATTCTAAAATTGAAACTGGTCATACCCCACCCACTCATTCAAACCCTGCTGTTTTATTAAATCCTGCTGCAGATTCCTTTAGGCCTAGAGATTCAATGCAAAACACTATGCCATCAAATACTATAGTTACTTCCCTTGATAAAAAACTAGCTATACCAGAAATTTCGTCTTTGGATGGTCAAGGTCATGACATCACAGGGAATTATAAGGTTTTGGCACCTGTTGAACATGGTTTTGTAGAACTTGCAAAATCTTTAGCTGAACAAGTTAGTTTAAATAGATTACCCCCACCTGAACCTGGTATATTCTTTGGGGATCCTTTGAAATACCCTGCATGGAAAGTTGCCTTTCAGACACTTGTTGAAGAACGTCATATTTCGTCTTCAGAAAAAAATCATTATCTTAAGAGATATATTGGTGGCCCAGTTAAAGAGGTGGTTGAGAACTACTTTCTGTTGACTTCTAGTGATTCTTATGATGAGGCGAAAAGACTTCTTGAAGAGCGATATGGTGACCCCTCTATCTTGGCTAATGCGTTTCGTGACAAATTAGAAAGATGGCCCAAGGTAGCTGCGAGGGATGGCCAAGGTCTTCGAAGGTTTTCAGATTTTTTACGACAGTGTGAAACTGCGATGCGTAGTATTAGTAGTCTCAGTTGTCTTGATGATGATAGAGAAAACAGAAAGTTGTTAGTAAAACTTCCAGAGTGGGTTGTAACACGTTGGAATCGTTCTGTTGTTCAGTGGAAAGATAGGTTTGGGTCATTTCCACCCTTTTCTGAGTTTGTAAAGTTTATTGCTAGTGAGGCCAAGGTTGCATGCGATCCAGTGACATCTTTGCAGTCTTTGTGGTTTGTGGTTTACAAACTTCGTAAGATTTTGGGTCATGGTAATTTTTCTGCTGTTTTTACTAAAATTATTTAACGTTTTATTAAAAGAGGTTATGACCCTTCTATTTTAAGACATACTGCATGTTTAGTGTTCAACCCTTTTACAGTTGGACACTACGCTTTCCTCTTTTGATTGCATCTGACGGACCAAGTGGGAGACTCTATGATGGATAGTTCGTAAAGCCCTTTGGGACTGAATTGTCTTAATGTTCGTCTTCTGCCTTGCTTCGTCGGGCCCTTGTAGGTGATTTTCTTGTTGCTCTGTCTTCCTTTAGGACATTGAGTACTTTTGTTATGGTCATTGGGTTTACTTTTATATGTTTCTACATGATCATTTTAGTGTTTTACTTATTTAACCTTTTGTAACCATGACAACTGTTAGAATTTCACTTGGCGGGGATTCATTTTATTTACACTGTCTCGTATATAGGAACATGGTGGGGCTAAGAGCGAGGTTTGGTGCACCATTAACCGGTTTAAACTCCCCAGCAGTCATTATTATGCTGCTGACCGTTCCAAGGCGGCGCCCCACTGTGTTCTTCAGATGTATGTCTATGTTGTTTCATACTGTTTTGGTGACACTTTTGCTTGTGTCCCTTGTTGTTTTCTCGTCTACGGTAAGTATCTTCCCAATTGCCTCTAGTTTTTATTTCTTTGATTAACCCCCCCCCCCCCCTTCCCCCGGTCTCCTGTCCCCTTCCCCTTTGTGGGCCTAATATTATTTTCTTTGAATTCCTAATCAGTTACAAATTATTTATCATTTAATGATTAACGTGTCGTTGCCCTGTCCTTTTTATGTTTGGGGTCCACCTGGGTATCCTTGCCATTGGTTCTTGTTGCTGGGTCATATGGGGGTTGCGTTCATTGAACGCCGCCTTTCCTTGTTGATCTTGTTTTTCATATTTGAAAGGAGATCAACAACGCTTTGGACCAGATCATTTAAACAGACATTATAAGCACGAAGAGTTGAGAAAGCCTGTCAGAAGTCATTCTTATTTGACTGAAACTAGGTCTAAGCCTCCTTCTAGTGTTTCACAATCAGTTAAGGTTATTTGTCATTTCTGTAAAAGAAATCATGATTTGGATGATTGCTTTCTTTTTCTTGCTAAGTCTATAGAAGAAAGAAAGACCTTTGTAAAAGAGAATAGTTTGTGCTTTTCTTGTTTCAAACCTGGTCATATTTCGAGGAACTGTAAACAGAGAAAACAATGCAAAACTTGTTTCTCAGTTAATTAGATTCGCTAGAGCTTGTAACAACGTAAAGGATTTCAACGAGCGGAATATTTTTATTACCAGCAAGCTTCTAAAACAGGGCTACCGCTATCATAAATTACGGAAATATTTTACTAAATTTTACAATCGTAACTTTGATTTAATTTCTAAATTTAATAGTGATTTAAAAACTCTTCTGCGACAAGGGATTAGCCAGCCTGGTTTTTATGGCGATGTGGTTTACAAACTTCGTAAGATTTTGGGTCATGGTAATTTTTCTGCTGTTTTTACTAAAATCATTAAACGTTTTATTAAAAGAGGTTATGACCCTACTATTTTAAGACATACTGCATGTTTAGTGTTCAACCCTTTTACAGTTGGACACTACGCTTTCCTCTTTTGATTGCATCTGACGGACCAAGTGGGAGACTCTATGATGGATAGTTCGTAAAGCCCTTTGGGACTGAATTGTCTTAATGTTCGTCTTCTGCCTTGCTTCGTCGGGCCCTTGTAGGTGATTTTCTTGTTGCTCTGTCTTCCTTTAGGACATTGAGTACTTTTGTTATGGTCATTGGGTTTACTTTTATATGTTTCTACATGATCATTTTAGTGTTTTACTTATTTAACCTTTTGTAACCATGACAACTGTTAGAATTTCACTTGGCGGGGATTCATTTTATTTACACTGTCTCGTTTATAGGAACATGGTGGGGCTAAGAGCGAGGTTTGGTGCACCATTAACCGGTTTAAACTCCCCAGCAGTCATTATTATGCTGCTGACCGTTCCAAGGCGGCGCCCCACTGTGTTCCTCAGATGTATGTCTATGTTGTTTCATACTGTTTTGGTGACACTTTTGCTTGTGTCCCTTGTTGTTTTCTCGTCTACGGTAAGTATCTTCCCCATTGCCTCTAGTTTTTATTTCTTTGATTAACGCCCCCCCCCCTTTCCCCGGTCTCCTGTCCCCTTCCCCTTTGTGGGCCTATTATTATTTTCTTTGAATTCCTTATCAGTTACAAATTATTTATCATTTATTGATTAACGTGTCGTTGCCCTGTCCTTTTTATGTTTGGGGTCCACCTGGGCTCCTTGCCATTGGTTCTTGTTGCTGGGTCATATGGGGGTTGCGTTCATTGAACGCCGCCTTTCCTTGTTGATCTTGTTTTTCATATTTTGTTCAAAATATCACCCGTCTTCTCTACATGGTGATTTACAGAAACAAAATGTAGTTTCTAGTAGTTCAGTGAGCAATACTAGTACCGAATCAGTGATAAAGACCGACCCACAACCTCCTGTACCAAATACCTCTGTCACTGTCAAATCTCTTTCAAATACGTCTTTTATGAGTGATACCAAATCTAGTCTTAAGTGTTCAATGATAGTGCCAGTATATGTGTCTCAGCAAGATAATCCTAAAGAAAGGCTTGTGTATGCTCTTCTTGACACTCAGTCAGATACGACATTCATACTCGATGATACATGTCAAGAACTTGGCATTGACGGTGTAGAAACCAAGCTTTTGCTTTCTACTATGCATGCGGAAAACCGTACTGTCACTACAAGGCGGATTAAGAATTTAGTTGTGCGTGCCTTTGATAGTGATTTGCGTTTGGAGATTCCTAATGCGTATACGCGAAACATAATGCCAGCCAATCGATCACATATTCCATCACCTCAGATAGCCAGGAAGTGGCCATATTTGGAACACATTGCGGACAAATTGATGCCTGTAAGTGATTGCGAAGTAGGACTTCTTATTGGCTACGATTGTTCAAGAGCACTCCTCCCACGTGAGATTATTGCCCCAGTTGACGATGGTCCATATGCCCAGAGGACGGACTTGGGTTGGGGAATAGTTGGCATCACAGGCTTAGACAGTACCAGTGATAGCGAATATGATCAAATTGGAGTTAGTCATCGCATCATCTCTTGTGAAGTCTCTCCAGATTTAACCATTAATAAGCCGGATGTACTTGGTCCTACTCATGTCCTATTGTCATTCAGAAATAGGGTTAAAGAGCTGGTCAATCCTAATGAGGTTGCGAAGATGATGGAGCTAGACTTTAGCGAGTACCATAAATCTGACAAGACATCTCTTTCACAAGAAGACCAAAAGTTTCTTGCAGTGTTGCATGACGGTATACATATGATAGATGGACATTATGAGATGCCATTACCATTTAAAAATGGTGTTCCAAACTTGCCTAACAATAAACCATCAGCTCTCCATCGGTTGAGACAGTTGCAGTCAAAATTTCAAAGGTGCAGTTTATATAGAAATCGTTATGTGACCTTCATGAATGAAATGATAATGAATGGCCATGCTGAGAAAGTTCCTGACACGGCAGATGAACGCAATGATGGCTGTGTATGGTACATACCACACCAATGGTGTCTGCCACCCTCAAAAACCTGATAAGGTCAGAGTAGTGTTTGATTGTAGTGCACAATACAAAGACAGGTCACTCAACAGTCATTTGTTACAAGGTCCAGATTTGACAAGTCATTTGGTCGGGGTTCTATGTAGATTTCGAAAGGAAAGTGTGGCATTTACTTGTGACATTCGGCAGATGTTTCATCAATTTAGAGTAAATCCAGAACATCGCGATTTCTTAAGGTTCCTGTGGTGGAAAGGCGGTAATTGTAATGACGTTGTTGAAGAGTATCGCATGACTGTTCATTTATTTGGAGCAGCATCGTCTCCCGGTTGTGCTAATTTTGCTCTGAAACAGGTAGCTTCTGACTATGCGGCTGAGTTCGGTCCCGATGTGGCAAGTTTCATTAGGCGAGATTTCTATGTTGATGATGGCCTTAAGGCTGTGCCTTCTGTCCAAGATGCCATAAGTCTGATAGATAGAAGTAGAGAGATGTGTCTTAAGGGTGGTTTACATTTACACAAGTTCTTGTCAAATTCCAAGGAGGTACTAAGTCATGTACCAGTCAGTGATAGATCCAATGCGTTAAAAGATAATGATTTGATGTGTGATGATTTGCCAGTTGAACGTGCTTTAGGTATCCAGTGGTGCGTGGAGTCTGATACCTTTCAGTTTCGTATTACTCTGAAGGACAAACCTTTCTCTCGACGTGGTGTTCTGTCGACCTTGAGTTCTGTTTATGATCCTCTTGGTTTTCTATCACCTGTTATTTTGGTAGGTAAGCAAATGCTTCAGCAAATGTGTAAGGACCAAATTGATTGGGACAGTCCACTTCCTGACGATTGTAGGCCCAAATGGGAGAAATGGAGAATAGATCTTCATCATTTGGAAACTTTGGGCGTGGTTAAAGGTGTGTGAAACCAGAAAAATTTTGGTGAGTTGTTCAAGCTGAACTGCACAATTTCTCGGATGCAAGTACAAAGGGTTATGGGCAATGTTCATACTTAAGACTGGTAGACTCAGAAAATCGTGTTCATTGTTCTTTGTTAATGGGCAAATCCAGAGTATCCCCCTTAAAACAAGTTACCATTCCACGTTTAGAGCTAAATGCAGCTGTTGTTTCAGTTAGAGTTAGCAACTTCTTGCAAAATGAATTGGATTTTGATGGTCTAGAGCAGTGGTATTGGACGGATAGTAACGTAGTGCTTGGATATATATCTAATGACTCTCGTAGATTCCATGTATTCGTTGCGAACAGAATACAAGAAATTAGAGATCTTACGGAACCCAAACAGTGGAGATATGTCAAAACTGCTGATAATCCAGCTGACATTGCTTCTAGGGGTGCTTTCTCTCGTGAATTGTTAGAGTCGAATTGGTTCACTGGTCCCAGTTTCTTGTGGGAACCCAACATTCCGCCTTTAAATGAAGATGATACAGTTCGGACCATTTCTTCTGTAGATCCTGAGGTAAAAAATGCTCTGTTTTTATAAGTGCTACTCTTAAAGATGAGTTTTGAACGTTTACCTATTTTCGTTTGGGAAAATGTGCAAAAAGTCTTTTGCAGTTTGTCTCAGGTTTTAAAGACTGCTTTTAAAAGGGTCTGTCAAAGGGTCGGGTATTGTATCTACCACGAGGTATTAAGTAAAAAATAAGGGTAACTTTTCACCAATTCAAGTAGTGGGAATTCAAGGGGCTAAAGGGGAAAAAATTTAAGTAGTTAAAAGGGGTTTGATAAGGAATATCACTATTGTCTTCTGTACAGTTCCCTCCATGAGAAACCCCCCCCAAAATATAAAAACAGTATTTCGTAAAAAATTTATTGATTAACTTGGATCCCTTTTTTAGATAGTGATGGGATAAATTTGGGGTTGGTGGCGTCTTTCTAAGTTAAACATCTTTGGGTGAGAAAAAATCCCATTTTTTTACCAAGAAAGGGAATGTTTCTAACCCTTTTATAGAATTTTCATGAAAGGATAAATCACCCAAGGTCTGGAATGATGTAAATGAGATAGGGCAAATGGTTTTTTGGGTCCATTTGGATGTAGTTCTTCCGTGTATATATGATATTCGTTTGTGTATTTTTGTTGAAACTCAAGGTTCCCTGAGGGTGCAGAAAATGGGATTTGCCCAGCCGATAGAGTAAACCTCGCCCCCTTTTACTTTGGCAGTTGATTATTTTGGACCCTTCTATGTTAGGCGAGAAGGTCGAAAGGAAATGAAGCGTTAGGGGTTTTTGTTCACTTGTTTTCCTGCAGGCCGTTCACATAGAAGTTCTCACTCTCTTGACGGCTAATTCTTCATCAATGCTATTCGCCGTTTTTGCGATCGTGGTTTTCCGTCGCCTTTTAAGATCTGAATCGTGTATTTAAACTTTGTTGGCGCTTGAGAATGAACTCAAGGAAGCATTTCTGAGATGGACACTGTCAGATTAGTCAATTTTCTGTTAAATGAAGGTTTTATTTTCATTTTCAAAGAACGATGCCCTTCAGCAAGCATATGGGTGGCATTGGGGGGCGGCAGATTGGGCCTATTGTAAATTTCTATGGCTCTGATGCTTCAAAATTGGACTCAGTTAGATGATAGGCTTCTTCATACTTTATGTGTGAAGCTGCGGAATTGTTAACAGTCCCCATTGTCTGTAACAAACCTAAATGATACTCTCTGCTGATCCTTATCCAAATTCACTTATTCTTCTAAGTCAAATTTTAATTCGTTCCACCGCCTGGGCAAATTTCAAAGCTGACTGTTTTCGCGGAAAACCGTTGGTGCAGAATTAATTTCTAGATAATGAATTTTGGACTAGGTGGTCAAAAGAATACTTAAAAATCAGCAAATCAGAACAAAAAATGGTTTCGGCTCAGCGAAATCTTTTTGCGTTGATGCATTGTTATGATTAAAAGACGAGGAACCTTCGCGAGGTCAGTGGCAGCTTAGGTAAAGTGTCCGAGGTATTTTCTAGTAATGATAGTTTGGTTCGCAAAGTAAGAGTTTTAAGTAGGGGATCTATGTTGGAGCAATAAGGGAAAACGTAAAAATAATTATGTGTTTCTTAGATAGGCCCCAATTCACAAATAAGTTTATTGCAAGAAAGGAGTAATTCCCCGTCGGAGAGCCCTTAAGTGTTTGAACTAAATTGAACTAAATTGTTGTATTTGATAATTCAGAAATGTTTGTTTTTGAAAAGGATGTATATTTGACAATACATTTTTATTGTATAATTTGTACTTGTTTATTGTAAAATTAGAAATTTCTAATTTTTAGGGAGGCATGTTACGGTTAAGGTACGGTATGTGTTGGACTTTTTACGTGTCAGTAAGAAATGAGTTGCTTCCCTTAGTTTTTGGACGCCTTTTTGTTGTGCTTTTTTGGAGGCAAAAGATTTTTCATCGAAATTGTTATACAATACTGCGTATTTGCAACGTTCTGTTTTTACGTTAGCATTTAATACAAAAGGTAAAATAAAGTGAATGTATCAGTCATATAGAGTTGCGTTAGTTTATTTTGCGAAGTCAATCCTCCAGATTGCGAATCATTTCAACGCGAATCGGGGGGTTGCTGGAAAGGAACAATGATTAGATACAACATACAGTTTAAAAGCTGTCACAATAAGTACAATCAAAAGTACAAATATGTCGACATTGTATATATACTTTTAAAAGACCAACTTATGTTCATTGCATAAAATTTTTAAAAAAATATCATAATTTTAAGTTTGGATTTTGTTACAGCTAAATGTTGCTTTTTAGTGTTTAAAATCAATTTGTTTCCCAAAAAAATTTTTTTAAAAGCTGGCCCCCCCGAAATTTTTAACATAAATCTTTAAAAAGAAAAACATTAAAATTTAAAATAAAAGATTCCAAAATTTATTCCTTTAAAATTAACTTTTTTTAAAAAAAAAGCATTGTTTTTAAAAAATTTTTGCAAAAAAGATACAATCCCTTTTCCACCCATTACTTTAAAATTTTAACAAAACCCCGTGTTTTTTTTTTAAAATACTATGCGAGTTTAAAAGATTCAATTTTCTATTTTGTAAATTTAAGATTGAAATAAAGTTTTTTTTGGGGGTTCCCCTTTTTTTGTACGTGGGGGTTTTTCCCGTAAACTGAAAAATATCTAAAACGATTTAATTAACATTTTTATTTTTTTAGAAAAAAGTGGCCCAAATTCAAAATTTAAAATTTTTATAGCAGTGATTTAAATTTTAACACAAAATTTTTTTTTTGGGTTTTTTTTTTATTAATATTTCGTATATTTAAAATATCTATTTAATTGTAAGGGCAATTGGGATTTTAAAAAACTGGAAGAGGTTTTCTTTCCAAAATGATTCAGTAAAACATCTTTTGTTTAAATTTTTGCCCCTTTAAATTTCTTTTCAAATATTATAAGGGAATCACTTTAAATTTTTTTCATAAAAAACAAACTGATATCATTAAACCAAAAAATTTTTTCAAAAGCTCCCGTTAATTTTAAAATTTTTTTCTTATATTCTTTCAATGTATTTATTTTATAGCTTAAATATCCCCCCAGAAAACTGTCAATCATTTTTTAGTACACAAGCAAAATCAGCATTTAAAAACACAATTAAATGGGTTCGCGGACGATTAAATCGGGGAAAAAGGGCTTTTCCTATGAAATTAAGCAATAGTTAAGATTTTTTAAAATAAATTTGGGAAAATTTTAATCAACAATATTTATTAAATAGTTTTGAACGGAATTATGAATTCATAAATATAATATAGCATTTATCATCCCAATTTATCTACTCTTTATTGACTTAAATTTCCTTATATATTAACTTTGACGTAATGTTGTCAATAATCCATACAAATTTAGTCCTCATCTTTTCTGTTAAAGTAACCCTTTTGCACACGTATATATAATACTATGTTGTTTTTATCTGAAGAGTTAAAACTATTTGAATGTTTATGAATCATATACACACGTTTAATTACAATGTCGAGAACTACATGGTGTATAACAATTTTAAAAGCATCACATAATTGAGCCGTGTCATGACAAAACCAACATAATGGGTTTGCGACCACAATGGATCCAGACCAGCCTGCGCATCCTCGCAGTCTGATCAGGATCCATGCTGTTCGCTTACAAACCCTATAACAAGTAGAGAAACTGACAGCGAACAGCATGGATCCTGAACAGACTGCGTTGACGCGCAGGCTAGTCTGGATCCATGATGGTTGCAAACCCATTATGTTGGTTTTGTCATGACGCGGCTCATATTATTTTGCGAGACAAAATAATGTTTACATATCTGCGGCCATGAGCGGTGTAAAATTACGCATATCAGTCCCTTGATTAATACATTAAATCATAAATAAACAAGTACAAATGTTGCTGCAATGCAGCAATTTAGAAGCTCCGCGCAAAAAAAAATGTGCTCATTACCGATACCTTACCAAATTATTCCTACGCACAGGTCATGTTATATTCAGATTAAGTACTATTGTAGATTTTTTCCGAATGTTTTGTAAACCAGTTTTTGCATAATTATACTTATCTTATGCACTGTCCATAACTGTCCATCGTTAAAAAGAGGGGAAAATATTTAATATAAAAAATGCTTAAGGAAAGTAATTCCAATGAATACAAACAAGACTTGTAAATGTTATGTGACATGACTGTACTGTGTTCTGTTTCAGTAACAGAAGATAGATGATAGAAATATCAAAGTCTGTTATAATTGTAACAAATATACAAATAGTAACAAAAGGCACTAATATTATAATATAGTAATATTACATATATATTTTTCATGTCAAATAAAAAAAAAAAAATGGTTTCTTTCAATACTGAAAGTAGAACACACTCTGGAATGAAAAAATGGGATGAATTTCCAAAAGACCAATTCAGGATTTTTTTGCGTCACATGGTGATACAGTATTTATCAATATAATAGAAGACTGTTACCTGAATTTAAGGTAGGTATGAGGAAATTCACTTATATCATATTCGTGCGAGACAAAGATATGAAAGCTATTTGACATTGGTAATATATAAAAAAAAATATTGTTTATTAATTTTTAGGGAGATCAATATATATGTTATGTTGAATTGCTTTAAAACCATTCATAAAAAAACATTACACTTCATGTTCAAACTGCAGATCAATGTTTCTGTTGTTGTCATGATATCTATCTATAGCCTATGCTTAAGGTGATTCCGCTTAATTGTCAGTCATGTTTGTTTTAACTTAAGTCTGTCCAAAGTGAAAGTAGGCCGAAATTCATATAACAACAAAGCTTTTATTGTAAAATGATGAACCATTTGAAAATACACTTCCAGGTTTATATTTTAAGGACAATTATAAACAAAAATAAAAATGATAACAATAAGAACATTTACCTTGAATGTGCTACATTTCTGAAGACCAAAAACATTCTGTTGCAAAGTTTTATGCACATTTCATGTATTGCAAAATCCTTTTAAAAGTCTGTTTTAGTGCCAACAAATTCTATTTTTTTGCAGCAAA